ATCTTTAAATCCTTGTCATTCTTAAAAAAGAATTCAACCATGTTTCATTTTCACAAGTCATCTCACCACAGCTTCAATCTTAGAAATAAATTTGACCTACCTATTCCAAAATCCCGTACCGCTTTTCATAAAAAAAAAAAAACAGTCATTCTCTATGTGTATCCATCTTTTCAATTCTCTTCCCAATTCAATCAAGGGCAAAAATGATTTAAAAAAAATGTAAGCATGGTTTGAGGGAATATTTAGTGGATAAGGAATTTTACAGTGTTTCTTCGTTTTTAAAATGTAAATAGTATAGAAGTTTGTATCTTTATTTTTATGGGTCTGATTTTATTTGTTTAGTTTTAGTGACTTTTGCCCTATACATTTCTGTATTATTATGGCAATAAACGATTCTTATTCTTATTCTTATTCCTACGTTCTGTTTTTGAATGTGGTATTTCTGCTTTAGACTGTTTTAGTATATAAAAGCAATGGGTTATCACTAAAAATAGATTAAGAGTACTGCAAATGTGTAAGATTTCCAACATTTTTTACCCAACTATTAATTTGCATACTCAGAAATTTGCTAAGGACACCTTGACTGAGGTCAAGTTAATAAATCGAATGACTAATGAAACTACTGTAAGTTATAGGGATAAAACCAGACTTGCCAATGAATTGATAACAAGAAACACTGAAACAATGTAGTAAATGACTGTCAATGAAAACATGGGGAAAACGTATTGTCTGCCCTGGTGCACCGAAAGTGACGAAACTCTGAGAAAATCTTACTTACTTGCAACAATAGTTGGAAAACATTGAGAGAATTCAGTGACTAGTGAATGATATACAATTGATATTGTACCAATACCGGGAAGACATTCGTCAAAGCTATAAATACAGTTAGTTGAAGGTCGGGTAAAGGTTAGACTCGTCTTGAAGATTACCTCAACAAATCTGTAGGTGAATGTTAAAATTCAAAACGTTTGTTTTAAAGATAGATGAAAATGCTTCTTTGACATTGACTGTCGGATGCAACAACGCGAAAGTTCTATATCAGTGTAGAGTTGAGCATCTAAAGGAAGGAGTTGAAACAAAGAATGCTCCTTTGTAGCTTATCTGGAAGTAAGCTTGTGAAATGTTGTAACTTCAAGGCTAGTTGAACTGACATTTTATCGCATGATATACGCGTACAATTAGACTTACCATATGAATGTTTATTTATTTATTTACGGTCATGCGTCATTTTACGTTAGAGTAAAGTCTGTGAATTGTTTGCAAGTAAACATGTGGTAACAAAATGCATAGGCCTATATATATAAATAACAAACAGAAGTAAATGAATAACAGAACCCTAACACATAATTCTCCGTAAAAAGGTTGTTTAACGTCATAATTATTATTCTACAAACGTAAGATGTTCAGAACAAGATAAACTGTAGCAATAAAATATGAATGGTAGAAAACTACGCGCAAAACCCTAGGCTATATTGGGGTGAACTGAAAGAAAAACCATATTCTAGTTTAAACAACAATTCACAATAATAAGTTTTACTCATTTCATTTTTCTGATTGTAGCCTATTTGTGAGTCAGCAGAGATTCTATCAAAATGGTAAACAAATTGCCTAAGCTTATTAGCATTGGGGAATTCAAAACAGTATAAAATCAGGCGTGTGCTCGAATTGATCCGCGGTCAGAGGGTAGTTTTGGATCATTCAAACTGACCCGGGGGTTTGGCAGGTAGGTAATAGCGTCGCTTGAAACCTGTGATCTGATCCACGAGTCGTTGAGGGAGGCATGGGAATTCTCCCCGTCCTCTACGGGAAAATAAGTTGAGTAATATACTTAGTATTTGCTTATATACCCATACTAATATGATTTAGCCTATTAGCTCATTTGAGCAATTTAATTTATTTGGCTTGATATAGCTAGCCTAGTTTAGTTTTTTATTTAGTTTATTGTGTGTATTCAATTCCGTCCAAATATTCTATAAGTTTCGATATCAAATGGTTTCTACAATTGGCAAAAAGTTAACATAAAGTCTTTCTTAGTGCTATGACTATGGGCGTTCAACACGGTTTAGAGTACAAGTAACTATATCAATGATTAAAACATAAAATTAATACTATTATATCCTAATAATCACACTCAAGTCAACATCTTACAGCAATATCAAGTTTTTTCAAACTGCATACTTCGTCTCGACCGGGTCGAGTTTTCGGAATTCTTCACCCAAATAGACATCGTTACGCAAGACATTTTTACAGAGAAGACGTCAAATTCCTTATAGGGTGAGTGTACCTGTGTATGACCTCTTCCTCATCCTATATCGCATGGTTTGGGTACAAAAAAAAAAAGTATTTTGGACAAGGCAACGTAGGCCTACAATATGCGTGTACATGAAAATATTATATTTTATTCATTATTTCATGGTTTTCTAAAACTATCTGGAATATTCTAGGAGGTCTTATAGCTTTATGAATTAACTATGGAAGTGCGTGATAGTAGTTAATCTGGAATGATCTAGAAAGAATATTCCAGCTTTGTTTAGATAGTACTAAAATTATAGATGATCTTACAGCATTTTATCATTCAGGATTGTTTTTTTATTAATATACACACCAAACAAGGTAGGTATGAAGGTCTTGAATAGAATTAAATATTCCTCCCACTACTAATTACTATATAATCGCCATTGTATTTTGATACGGGTATCGCGTAGTTCGCCGCCAATATTTTAAACATATTGTCAATACAACAATATTGTAATTGTAATAGCAGTAATTACTGATTTATAGTTATGTGTACAAATTTAAATTAAATGCACACTTTTTTACACATTTAGTCGCGGTATTCGCCCAATACTATACATTTAAACACCGCATAAACATTTTAACCTAAAAACAGAACACTAAAAACAATAAACACACAAATACGTAATGTTTTCAGCTGGTATGTTTAAAACAGCTTATCGAAAAACCTTAGCAGTACAGTACTTCCATTAGAAAATGACTGAATCTCTGACAGCCTGTGGTGTAGAGCAGGGGTAATTTTTGACACTTCTGATATTTTTGATATTCTGATATAATTTGTTCCCACAGTCCTTGGACCTTGAGCTTTAAAATGAATCCTCAACAGCCATTCTACCTTTTACGTAGGTCGGGATATTTAATGGGGACCGATTCGCTTACGGAAATAAATTGATAGATTTAATATCATTTACGTAATATGACTTAAATTAAATACAAGCATTGACTATTGGATACTGAAGTAGACATCCCATCTAAATGGACCAGCTCTGTAGCCAGTGTTTTGTTAAAAAAGAACGTAGTTGTGTGAGCCAGCCACATAATGCGCTAGCGACTAACTATTTTGTACTTGATTTTTTGTATTATTAATAGTCATAAGCCAATTCTGTACTTTACTTTAAAGTAAACCTATTTTTCGAATTATGAATCAAGAAACATGAATTCGCACTGAATACTTTTACGTAAATACATCACTTTCATTGTGCGCAAGGGATTTAATAGAATTCGTTTTTTTATGATTACAAAGTAATACGATAACTTGTGTATTAATAATTAAATATAAATCATATTACTAATTGTTTCCATCATTATTATCAAACTACTTTCTGTAAGTATCAAACGTACCAATTTAATAACAAATATATTGTTATCATAAAAAGCTTACAAGAACTAAGAAATACATAACCATATCCTAAACTTAAATAAAAAAACTAGGCCTATATTTTTAAATTTTAGAAAGCTACATCAGACAAAACAAATGGCACCAATGATAATTTACAACAAACGATGTATTATTTTTAAGGATAGTAAAAAGAACCCTGTAACAAATAGAGTAATACTCTAAATGTTAGCGTTCTATAGGATTAGCATAGGCGCTTTAAGAGCCCTGGCTCTGGGGCGAAGCATTCGCTACACACTGAGCTCAGCTTAACATACAAAGATTAAAATGACAAAAAAACCTTCAAAAATTGTTTAAAACTTAGAGTAAGTTATAATCACTCAATTAGAACCCTATAGCAATGTAAGTTATCACTGATGTATTTCTGTAGGTTTGTACTAAATAACAATTAGTTTTTACTAAGTGAAAGATTTTAAAAAACGATAGCAATATTTAAGCCAAATGAACTTAATTGCAAAAATAAGCTTTTAGGCTAAATCATATTACTGGTTGTACAAGGAAGGACTTTGTCTGTTGCTCAACTTATTTTCCCCGTAGAAGCCTGAAGAATTTCCCGTCCTCCCTCAACGACTCGCGGGTCAGATCACATGTTTCAAGCGACCCTATTATCTACCTACAAGACCCCCGGGTCAGTTTGAATGATCCATAACTACCCTCTACCGCGGATCAGTCTGTATGCAGCCAAAATCAGATCATCGGGATTAGGATTCAATATTTGATTCAACCATTCAGCATAAAGCAATATGCCGCATCACACCAGATTTTCAAAATAGATTAAATTCCAGTCCTTCTACACTCATGACTCACTCATGCAGCTTCAATTATACATTAAAGCACACCTGCACATGTCTACCTTCCAAAAAAATGTGAGATTTTATTTGGAATTTACTCTTTAAGATTAGCTTGAAGTAAAGTCATTATGGTTCATGCCTCAAGGTTTTGGAATAAAATACTCCAACGTTTCCGATCAAACCAGACGAAAACAATTGGATTTATGTTTTTATGACCACTGCTTTACACACATGAATACTTCCGCGACGTGGAACTGTTATCAGCTCAATAAATAACTTTGGAATTCCTGTATAAAATACATTACGGTACTATGCAAGCCCTATCTTTACAGACATTTTGGATTGCCCACTTTCTGTCGAACCACTCGTTGAAATCGCCACGAAACAAAGAAACCCCACGTACAAAAATCACATGACAAAACTGCACCAACCTCAAAAGAAATTCCAAAACATTCACCAGATGTCAAATGCCATCGGCCGCACCTAACCTATGAAGACATACGAGGGAATCAACATACCTCATAATCCCGTCGAAGAAACAAAGCAGTAACTTCACAACACCCCACAAAACACACAGAAGCGGTCACGGATTGAATGAAACGTGCGAAGTAAACACTATTCGAACTGATGGAGGATTGTAGACACAATACGTCGAATACGCGGCAGCGTCGTCGACGAATGGCTTTCACTCGGCGGTGTTGCCGTCACCTCTGTAGCCGCACGATGTGGCAACGCCGCAGCTTGCAGCTACCTGGTGGACAGGCGAGACCAATGTTGCCAATCTTGAGAATGAATGGAGCCTTGCGTAACTTGATGTTGGTAACGCAACTTGGACCTCTGGTCTGGACTCTGGAGTCTCTAGTGGGTTTGTTTGTCTTTGGAATCCAGGAAATGTTGCTTGTGATAGAAAATACAGTAACAAAAGTTGTGAGTTTTCAAATGTGCGATTGGAATTGTAATGACAGTAACAAACATTTATGAATTAGCTGAAGAGTGGATTTGCCTCGATATCAGTGCAAGATATCTGTCCTAAAGACACGGGTTTGAATCCCGCCAAACACCTGCATTTTCTATGCAACAATGACACATGGTTGCTTCTGAACTGAGACTGTATGTTAATAATAGGTATGTAAGCGAAGGGCTGTACTGAAACTGCCACGACGTTTTATGATCATAATCCATACCGAAACTGCCACGCCAATTAGTGAGGATTATAAGGGTGTTTTTGAGAATGCTAGAAACACTGAAACTGCCACGGCGGATTCCTCAGGAAGGGGAGGTTGGTTTGGCAACGTGCAGGGAGAAACGGGAATGAGAATATCCCTAACTCATCACAGTGACGATTTTGAAACACAACACTTTACTTTGCTCATAAAGTTAAATGCTTTTCATGTCGCTACTTAAAAGAGGCCATACTAACTTTGTACTTATTTAAATCAAGTATCAATAGAAAAAGACATTTAACTACCGATGAAGTCAGAATTAATATGTTCTAAAGGATTAACACTTAAAGTGCCTTTGACATGTTTGAACATGAAAATTGCTTTTATTTCAATGTTAAGCAATGGCGGGAATTCCCGTCATCAGCACCCAACGTGTTAAGATTGCAATGGAATGTAAAATGCTTCTTACTAAATGTATTATATTAATGCTCTTAACCCGTTATAGTGAATTACTGGCGTTAAAGAACTCGATAAACACATATTTTATCATTGGATTTGGAAGTTTTCAGTTTATAAATATACCAAGGTGTAGGTAGGCATCGTCAAAATTGCACAAGAAGAAACATAATCTAATGCAAATGATAGCACAACAGGATACGTGTCCTGAAGTATAAATAAAACACAATTGTGATAAATATGTTGATCATATTTGGCGAATTCATTGATTTCATCCTATACTATTAATTTTTTGCTAAAAAACACTTTTGACCTCGCCGTAGTAGTAAACCCTAGGTGTTTGTTAAATCGAATGTTATTTAAATAGGGAATAAATATGTCTTGTTTATGGACAATTTTAGTAAGAATCCAATAAAACAAATTGAAATTCACTTCTGCGGGCTGCGGTGGAGGTAATGTATTTAGAAATGAGCTGGGAATACCATGAAAACATGCTTTTCAGCAATGAGTTGGAAATACTGCGCGCACTGCGTTCCAATTGTCTTAGGAATTGGCGTCGAAGTATGAGATCCTTTGTGATGACTAGAATACACAGAATTAAGTTCGAGTCTGTCCAGATCTTGTTTAGTACGAAATACAAATAAAATACAAGACTAGGCCAAGAAATATACAGATACAATTATACTTGTATACATAAGGTGAATAATGTGCAGGTTTACATTAATAATACCAGATAAAAACTTCATAATTGATAAGTATACATTTTAGATACGGTTGGTAAAAAATAAATCTTAATTAGCCTAGGCTACTTGTAGTGATAATTCAGGGTCACTTAATTCTGCCAACCTAGAAACCGGGAATAGCGCGTGAATTTTAACTATCAGGAAAAAGTCCATGAGTTGTAATTGAATTTAGTAAGAAATCGAATATAAAAATGGTAAAATATTTGCCGTAAAATCCACCCGAAAACACAAGAGTTTACACGTTTTGCGTAATCGAAAAACGCCATTGCGAGAAACTACTGTAGAAATGACCACGGACATTGCCGCAATATCGATAAATCATCACACACTAAGCCGCAAGTGCAAGATGATCATTAATTTTTCGTCGATCGCGAAAAATAGTTACGGGTGTTAAAATAATCGCTGGAGATGAATGCGAATGTTGCCGCAATTGTGAAATCATCACCGGTCATCATCATTGCTGTCGTAGTTTACTTTGATCGCTAGAAATTATCACGGATTTGGCCACGATCGTAACATACGATCACAGATGTTTTTTAAAGTTTCTTACGACAATTCTCCATTTTTAGGCATTTCCGTGATCGCAAGTAATAATCTCGGCCGTTTCTATGATCACAGAAAATTTTCACGGATGTTACGCCTGGTGGGAAATCAACACGAATTTGCTTCCAATTTTCTCATGTTTAATCAGAATGAAATTAAATACCGAATTTGAAAAATATTACATGAGTCAAGCTAATAGGAGGGCATTCCACTGAGATTCCACGTGAACGCCCCTCTGCAGACCATGGAGGTTGGGTACAGTATTTGTACTTCTGCAACCTAGCGTCTTGGGCGAATAAAACTATTTTTGAATATTACAGTTTTACAGTATTATATTAGTATTTGATCACCTCTAGTGTAATTAAAAGCGTCGAACAGATCATATAAAATGCAGTGTTATATAAGTGGTAAATGAACATAAAACTTGTTTCTTAGTGGTAAATAATCATTCATTAAAGTAAATATATTCTCAAGAGTCGGAATAAATACTTATAAAGTAAATACTCTAAAAGTCGCAACACTAAAAACTTAAATTAACATAAAAATAAATCCTAAAATATAAATACGAAAGGGCAAATCAATCACTTATTTTTCCAATCAACGTATTATTGTGAAAGAAATTAAAAGGTTAAGACAGAAATGGGAATTTTAAGTCTCCCGTTTCTCCCCGTCTATCTGGGGAATCCGCCGTGGCAGTTTCAGTGTTTCTATCCCTCTCAAAAACACCCTTATAATCCTCACTAATTGCCGTGGCAGTTTCAGTATGGAGCATGGTCGTAAAACGTCGTGGCAGTTTCGGTGTCCCCGTAAGCGAAGAGGGGTTCCTCTGCATTTGAGGACTCGCCAGTCGCCTCAAATGAGTATAGGCAATGAATAGGTTCTGTATTCATTGGTGTAGGATAGTCTGCCAACAGTGGTTCTGAGAAACCAACCCTCTGCAACAAACAATACGCCACTATATACCATATAGTCAATGACAGCTCCGAGTCTGTTCTCCCCGAAAGATTCCCTAAAGGTTAATTTAAAAGTTTTTGTGGGTAAGAGGGAAGAAGGGAAAGAGTAGCCTAATAAAGAATGTGCGAAACAACAAGCTTCAAACCTAAGATAAACCAAACAAATAATTAATATCAAAACATTGGAATTTTAATCAATCAGAAAAAACTGTGTTATTCGGCATAATGAACTGATGATTATTAATATTACAAAAATGTACAGTTGATGTCCACGGCTGTTCCTATCCTGCAGAACATAATAAAAACTAAATTTATGAAGATAAAATAAAAAAAATGTTTTACCCAATGTATTAATGAAAAGCGATTATTATTTCTGTATATGATACCTAAGTCAAGCGAAAGTTTTTACAACAAACTATATAATTATATAGTCCTTCAAAAAAGGTATAATAAATGGATTAATTATTAGCATATCTTAGAGCATTAGGTAATCGTTTTAGCATCTTGATATTAATGTTGATAATAAAGTACCATACAAACTAGGGTATAAACCTAAGCTTTTGTTAGTTAATCGTTCAACATTTTCACAAGTCTACCATTTCCTTCGAAACAATAAATAATGACTGGGAGTTATTAAAGTTCATTTGCCCTGTTGTGTTCAGTAAAATAACATAATAAATCAGTTCATTAACATAATAATTCATAACATCAAATTATGCTCTTGTAGACGATAACTCACTGTCAATAGCAAAAATACTTTACACGCAAAGTGGCTTGTGGTTGCTAGTATTGTTAAAAAACCTGTTCATCATCCAGTGGTTTGGAATTGTAACTTAATTAATCACAAATTTTAGTTTCAAAAGCATACAGATTCGCTAATGCTGGTTTTTGATAGACGGTCTTACTATACTGTCGGTATTCACTGAATCAAAGCTTGGCCCCCATGTAGTCGTGAGCACCGAGCAATGACATTGACAGCTTTGTACCGAAAGTGGCGACTAACTGTAAAGTGATAGAAAGTTAGGTTAACGGACTTGTACTGTCTGTCTGTCTGTCTGTTTGTCGTGGTGACGAATGTCAACTAACAGCTGTTTCAAGGTAAGAATTCCATAGAATCCTATGTAGGACGAGCTAAGCGAGTAGGTCAAATAGTTCAAATACTTTTATTTTTACTAGTTGACATTATGGTTTTTGTTGCCTATTTCCATTGACTTTCTTAGTTCTAAGTGTAGTACTTTTTACTCTGTGTAGTCCTTTTTTTAAGCGGAGTTATCTTTTTGTTAACAGGATTCTTTTTATTAGCTATTTGTAAAATATACATCGGGATTGAACACTATATTTTCGTTAGTATTCTCAGTTTTTTATACATTACTTTAATAATTTTAAAGATGATATTTGTTGATTATTTCAAATTACTAACGTGTGTCACAGTTAATTTTCATGATAACGTACATACTTAATACAATAAAGGGTTTATCAGTTGCATCCCTTTTTCAGCTTTACCGATTTTCACAATTGAGGTGTCTTTTGAAGCTTATTATCCAGTACACCTATGACTGGTAACGAAAAGGATATTTTCAAAGGGCACCCCTAAAGTTTCAGTTATTTTTAGAGTTCCCTTTCAATGGCAATATTTATGACTAACTTTCTTTATAACTGTTTACATTTGAACCGTAGTATTTATGTTGTTGAAGTTGATCCTTTCCGCTGGATGTTTAAGCTGATTTAGATTGTAAACGAGAGACAGGCAAAACAGTTTATGACTGTGGATTTTAAATATAGGCCCTACTACTTTTTTGTAAACTGC